GTTAAGTGGAATGGCTCTGAATCCCAGTTGTCTGGGTTCACATTTTTTTTTCTTCCTGTCTCTTAATAGCTGTTTGACCTTGGAAATTATATAGTGATTTCCTGGACTTCAGTTATTTCACCTGAAATGGGAATAAAAATGAGTACCTACTTCATTCCATTGTTCGGATCAAATGAGCCAATAACAATAACAAAATATTTATGATAATAAAAATACATAGCCAGTGGGAAAAAAAGATATTTAAATGAATTTTCCCTGTTAAGCACTTAGCACAGTGCCTGGCACACAGTAGTCACTCAGGAAATATTAGCTACATTACTAAGTGGTTTACATGTCTTTTTATGATGATTTATCTCATTAATTTAAGGATTCTTTTTGATACTAAGGAAAGTACTTCAGATTATATAACTAGTTTTACTATCTGAAGTTAGCGTTTGAAACCAGAACTATTTGATTCCAAAGGCAGCTCTTTTTACCACTTGACTACTTCCTTAGAGTAGAGTTCTGTTTCTGGTATGTAAAAATTACCTAGGAATGTAATGTTAAAATTAGGACACAATGATGATACTTTTTGATTTATATACTTTATAGAGAAGATCAAGACTTTTTTGATATTGCATTTACTGTATTGGCTTTGGTAAATTTCAGCTGTAGGTGTAAAAGCATTTTTTTAATACAAGTAAATTAAAAGTAAGTTTTTGATGAATTACTGCTATTAGTTCAGGTATGTCATTAATTTTTGTCACTTTCATGTATTTTTTGTAATCTCAGCTATTAATAAATCACATTTTTTTCTATCTTTTGGTGAATATATGTCTATTTTTTTGTTGTGTTTATACCTAAAGTTGAAATTGCAGGGTTGGTGTATGTATATAGTTATTTTTATTAGGTACTGCTGGACGGTATTTTTAAAAGATCTTTTTTTATTGAGGTATAAATTTTATACATAAAATTCTTCTGGCAAACAACTGAACCAATTGGTTAATTAATTTTCTCTCCTATTAGCATTGTATGAGAGTTCAAGCTTTACAACTTTTTCAGATATTGTCTAATTTATTTTAATTAAATTTAATGGTATGGCAGTCACCTTTTATGTGTTTTTTGTCCTTAAATATAACCTCTTTTGGATGTGGTTTATCTGTCTCAACTGTTATTGACTTAAGGACTTCTTTATATATTCTTGATATAAGATCTTTTTCAGATATTTATTGCATATATCTTCTCTTGCCTTTTTTAGCCCTATCTCGAATATTTAAAATTTCCTGTTTAAGGGATCCTGTCTATTCACCATATATGAAGATATGTAAAAATATTTTCTTCTAGAAGCTTTATTATTTACCTCTCACGTTTAGATCTATTTTGCTTTTAGAATTTTTTTGTTGTAACGTAGAGTCATTGCGACTGCTAATTTATTTTTTCTATCTTATTTTTTTCTCTCTATGCTTCAGTTTGGGTTTTTTCTGTTGCTATGTCTTCCATTTCAGTGATCTTTTCTTCTGCAGTGTCATAATTGCTTTAATCTTACCAGATAAGTTTTCCTTGTAGATATTATATTTTTCATCTTTAGAAGTGCTTTTTGGTTCCTTTTTATATGTTTTGTTTCTCTCCATGTTTATATTTTTAAATTCTTGAGCATATTTATAGTAAATATTTTGTTATCCTTATCTCATAATTTCATCATTTCTCTCATTTCTCCTAGTTATGGGTCATGTTTTCCTGCTTCTTAGCTTATCTAGTAATTTTTTATTGGAATTTGGGCATTATGAATTTCACAGTGTTCTTACTGGATTTCAGTGTCTTTAAACAATGTTGGACTTTGTGATAGCAGGCAGTGAAGGTATTTGTACATCAGTCTATGGCTTTGTTAGGGTGGATCTAAAGTACTTACACTAGGGCTAGTTTTTGTCTACTGCTGAGTAGACCATTCCACAGTATTTACTGAATTCTGCAGCTATTTATGGAAGACTCCATTCTGACTACTTGGAACTCTTGATGCCCTCTGATCCCTGAGAATTATTGAACTTACTGCTTTGTTTGACCTGATGAAGTTTCACCCTACATGTGCAAGATTCAGTACTCAACAGTTTGCATCAGCAGATGCATGGGATCCCAAGCAGATTGTTAGATCGCTTTCTTTGAATAGTTTCATCTTTGTTTGCTTCATCATCTGGTTGGCGTCGTTGAACTTCAATCTTTGTCTCTTCTGCTCTGTGGACTGTTGTGCTTTGCTTCGGATTCTTCTCCCTGTGCTGCGAGCTATATAAAACAGTGGCATTTCTAAGCTCATCATGATTTTTTTTCTTCCTTTCTTGGTTCACAGTCCTGTGCTGTCCGTTGTCCCATGTTTGACAAGTTATTTCATATATTTTTTCCAGTTTCATTTTTTATGATAGAAGGGCAAGTTTAGCCTCACTCCACCATAGATAAAAGTGGAAGTTCTCTTACTACATTTTTACAGAAATAAATTTTCAGAAAGCTAATTGAGGGTTTTAAAAACAGTGTACTTAAATCGTTCTTTGTATGTATGTAGTTCCGGGAAAACAGTGACAAATCGAGTGTTCCTCCTCTTAATTAGTGTAATCCATACATCATAGCTTCCTTTAATACTTTCACTGTTATTTAAGGAAAACACTATTTTTAGTCTTTGTGCTAAATAAATAGGAACACTAAATTTAGTTGCTTAGCCTTATGTTTTTTTGGTTACAAATGGTTAAAGGTAGCTCCCAAGCTACTGCTTCTGCTGTCCTCTCCCTCTTATCCCCTATGTCATTCAGCCTGCTGAGTGCATAGATTGTGGTGGGAGGGGCAGAGAGTTAAGCTATTGCAGAGAAACCGGGACTCATGGGACATACTACAGGATGGAAATATGAAGGAAGGAAAGCACAAAGGATAATCAGGTCTTTTGCATCATCTGGTTGGATTAGTTGAGGGAAGGGCATCTACTGAGATGGTGAAGACTTGGTGAAGAATAGATTCTAGGGAAAAATCAGTTGGGTTTTGTATATTTTTGGTTTGAGATGTGAAACAGTAAACAAAAGATAGTGAATACATATTTGATATAGAATATTTCTGTAATTGGCTGTAGCATTGAGTTTAAGCAATTGATTTCTTGATGTTAAACAAAATAAAAATTTATGTTTTCATTGTTTTGTTTCTACATATTTTTTACTATCGTTTTGTCATCATTTGCATTAACTATCCCTCGCAGATTTTGAATATATTATTTTGAAAATTGTGAGTAAAATTTGTTTAAGTTCACGATAGTGGATTTTGACATAGATGCGGGGGGTTTTTTTGTTTGTAATAAACATAGTGCTTTAAAAATCATTGTACTATGAAAGCACACATTGATATCTAGAAGTCAGATAGCATTAAAAAGTTTATGATGAAAAAAGTCATTATCCCCCTTCCCCACCCAATGCCTTTCCACTGTGGAGTTAAGCATCCTCAGTCCTACTAGCCATTTTCTCTGGAATTTGTTTTCTTGTTTAATAATATATAACTATTTCTTGATACATGGCTTGATAATTTAGACATTCATTGACTTCTGGTTATGGAAAATGAGGACTTAGAACCTCATCATTTACATGTTTGCCTGCTTCCCTTTTCTTCATTACCTCATTATAGTTATATCACAGTGTTTCAGTAAATCAGTACTATTTTACATTTTTATAATTATGTATGTGTTGCTCACTGTTAAACCAAATATTACACTAAGACCACACTTCCTTTCTTATATAATCCTTTATTTCTCCTGGAGTTAATACCTGTCTCATTTATTTAATTGCCTGGTTTTCTGTAGACCTGTTGCTTTTCCCCCAGATGTTCCTATATTTCTGCCATACGTTTATAAATAATATTTTCCATATTATGAAGTACATCAGTTCCATTTTTGCCCTTGCTGGAAACCTATTCTCCGGTGGCCTTTGGCTTTCTGTTTCATTTCGTAGTGATCGTTCTCTAGTTTGTTTTTTTTTTTTTCTGCATTAGATTATTTATTAAGTTCCATGTTGTCTTTTTTAAAAATTTGTTTTGATTGTTTTTTATAGCTTCCTAAGGAAGAGTGCATAGAAATAAAATTTTAGCTTTCTGAGAGGGCTTAAAATGTCACTTTACTCACATACTTGATTGATAGTGTAGCTGGGTGTAGAATTCTAGGTTGAAACTTAATTTTACTCTGAACTTTGAAGGCTGTGGATAATTGTTTTCTGGCTTTCTGCAATATTCCATTGTTATTTTAGATAATAAAAGTTCAGTACCATTCTGATTATAGATCCCTCTTATGTGTCTGGTTTTTTTTCTCTGGAACTTTTTAATTTTAATTTTAATTTTTATTTATTATTTTAGGCGAGGCAATCCTTAGTTGACCTCACAGATTGCAAGGAACTTGTCAGCTTACAGCCTCTTGTTTTTTATTTTTTATGCCTACAGCACCTGGTCTTCCTAGGTGGTCTCCCATCCAAGTACTCACCAGGCCCGACCCCGCTTAGCTTCTGAGATCAGACGGGATTGGGCTTGTTCAGGGTGGCATGGCCATAGACCATTCTGGAAGTTTTTATGGACCTTTTTTTTGGCCAGGATTTGAAATTTCATTATGTGCCATGGTCTGGGTCTTTTTCCCTTCATTATTGTACATGTCCTTGTCTGTCTCTTTACAGCTTGAGAGACTTCTTCAGTTAAAAAGAAAACGTTAGTTTGAAATATAGTTTCTACACCTTTACTTTTTTTAGTTTTTACTTTATATAACACTTGTTGGACCTTTTGGAATGACCTAATGATTTTCTTAAATTTCTGATTTATGTTCTGTCCCTTCATTTTGCTTTAACTTTCTGTATTTGAGCCTTCAGTGTTTTTTTCTACTGGCATTTTAATATGATTTAGGAAAATATGGAAATTACATTTGATCATTTTGTTGTATTTAACAGAATCAGAAAGTTAGCACTGAATTTAAATTTTTCGCATTTCTTATTAAACTCAGATTTTCTTTTTTGTTTTCACAGAGATGTTATGAACATAAACAGTATAGAAATGGATTGAAATTCTGTAAACAAATCCTCTCTAATCCCAAATTTGCAGAGCATGGAGGTAAGTATAAATACAGTATACTTACTTGTAAGTAGATAAGGCTTTGCTTACTTTCCTGGTCTCAGGTATTTGGGTTCTGTCACTCTCAGCTTCCTTAACTATTTTCCAGAGAGAATGGACCTTCTTGTCCTTGACTCCTGTGAGATGTTTAATACTGTATTTTGAATTTAATGTCAAGAAAATGAGAACACATTCTACTTGAGTTCTGATTTATTCCTATTTTGAATATAAGTGCTGTAGGAACGGCAGAAGAACAACTAGTGGGACAAATATGCTTATTTAAGTTGAATAAGTAAATTTATTTAAGGTATTAGAAGAAAAATTTGCTTTAGAACGTTGGTTGAGCTGGAGAATTTTATTCCTTACAATAAACTTATTCAGAATGTGCCCATTTGTCCTTTGCTGATGAACCAGCATCTTTTTATTTAGCATTGTATTTTAGTTTTTATGTCATGTTTAAGACATAATTTGTACATTGTAATGTTCTTGAAAGTGTTTTTACCTTTTAGCTTTTGCCTCTTTGAGGGTTGAAGGTGGGATAGTGGGCTGTTTGTAGGGTAAGGGGAGAGTATGTAGCTAAAATTGTGAAAGAGACAAAGGAAAAATAAGCTTTCACAGGTTTGATTTGTACAGTTAGGAAAAATGGCCATTTGATAATTAATTTGATAATGTTCTCTTAGTGTTGAAGAGGGAGAGAGTAACATTTCTCTCAGCCTTCTTACTCTTGAATACTTTCGCTATAATAAAATTGTTTGGAGATGGAAAGTAATGGGAATAAAAGTATCTAAATTAGTCTCTTTCATTTTCCTTATTAAAAATATTTTTGCTGGCCATCTTGATATTAGGTTGTTTTATATTCATTTCTAAAGTATGCATACTGGTAATTAACTTTTAGTAATGTAATGATAGAATTTCAGTACAGCATAGTACCAGATTTCATTGTTTATAAAATGTACTTTCTCTTCATATCTGAAATCAAGTTGCATATGAAGAAGTATCATAATTTAATTGAAGATATCTTTTAACAGTGCATAAGATGATGGATGGTTCGTCTTAAACTTAATGGCAACCCAGGGTTTCATTAATATAGGCACTTTAAGATGTTTGGTAGAACTTGGAAGAATAGATTTTACTTGTTTGACAATAAAGGGCTACTTTCTACAGTACCCTGATACTTTTTTTATTTGCCAAATATGTTTTGTTTGCTTCCTTTCCTTTAAGTTTATACATGATTTATAATAATTCATATATGATTTTTTCCCTCTTTTTTGCTTCCATTTCTTTATCTGTATTTTTCTATAAATGTTGATTTATAGAATAATATCTTTAATCTTTACCCTTTTTTCCTAATTGATTTTTCTAAAAATTAGGCAAATAAATTATAATGAATATTTTTTATTCCTTGATGCTTCATAAGATATACATTATAAAATTAGAAATCTTTTTTTTCCTTTTCTGAAAACTTAATCAACACTCTTTTAATCTGTTACTTGTGAAGGACAGGTGTCTGATGTCTTCTTTTCTTGTATATTTAATAGTAACCCAAAGAATCATTTTAAAATAAATTTATGAAAATAAGAAATGTATGTAATTTATGTTCATTGAACAGTGAACTTAATTTTTATATAATTTAGGTTCAAAGCAGTACAGTCTGTTTCAAGATAAAGATTTTCATATGTTAAAGGAGTGATTATATAAAGTCATTCCATGGAATTCCCTTGAAGAACAGCAATAGAGCCATTGTATCTTGTTAGCCTATGAATTACCAGGTGTTCATGCAGTTTTGTACCTTTTATCTGAAAAAATCTGCAGAGGCCTAGAATATAGAAATGTGATTTGTTTAACATGGTTTGTCAACTTTCAAAATATTGTAATTTCTGTGCTAACCTGGAAAATTTCCCAATAATCTTTTAAGTTTTCAGTTCTTAGGGGAATGTAACATTTGTTTGTGAGATTATGGTAACCTTTTTTTGTGTTATTTTTAATGTTTAATTTCTTGTTGTTTTTTTTTTTGCCTTCTTACATTTTTAAAATAGAAACCCTGGCTATGAAAGGATTAACATTGAACTGTTTGGGAAAGAAGGAAGAAGCTTATGAATTGGTTCGTAGAGGTTTGAGAAATGACTTGAAGAGTCATGTCTGTATCCTTTTTGAGGTATATTTAAGGATTGGATCAGCGTGCCTTGAGCTAAGGCAGCAACTTGGGAGTCAGAAGTTTGGATTCCTCTTACATGTACCTTTAGAGATGATTCTTTCTTAAACTGAATAATAGCAACTACCTTTAATTCAGGGAACATTTTTATATACCTACCATATTCTAACATATCTATTTACAAATAAATGGAACTTGCCTTTAAAATATCTACGAAAGCTCTTTTCACACTTCAAAAAAAATGCAGATGTCATCATGATCATAAATTTAGAGAAGGATATACTATACACTAAGGAATATTAGAGAGACAATATAAGGTGCTGATTAAAGGCACGGGCTTTTGAGTGTGCTTCACTTAGGTTTGAATCTCAGCTCAGCTTCTTTCTGTGATCTTAGGGCTTATTTTCCTTGTGTGTAAAATGAGGGTATTCAGACCTACCATACATCATGGTGGTGTAAATATTTAATGATGTTTAACGTAGTCCCGATAATGCTAATTACTATACTAGATAAATTTTATTTTATTAAGGGAAGTGTGAGAAAAGAGTCAGAGCAAGTACAAATATCTGAGGGAAAATAGAGGGAACAGTAGTAGGTTGCTGTTTTTTAAATAGTTTTTAAACAATATTTCTTTGCCTATGTTGTGGGCTAACACAATTTTAAGTGCTGAAAAACTTAGGATATTTTCAAGTGTTTACCAGGCCCCTAGCATAGTACAGACCAAGAAAACAGGAATTTTGCTCTTGAGTTTAGTGAAGAAGGATACTTGTTAGAAGCATATAGAGAACACTTCTGAAGATTATATATAATGTTACAGCTGGTTCAAAAATTATCACTGTTCTACTAAAGCAGAAGTAAATGAGTTGAGAGTGACCAGAAACTAAAAAGGTAAGCAAAGTAGTAATTAATAAGACTGTTGTAGATATCTTTTCATCATATTTAATGATTGCATAGTGTTCTATATGTATTTGCCATGATTTATGTAATTAAGTTCTTCTTGATGGACATAAGCTTCTTTAAACTTTTAGCAACGTTAAACTCTTTGAGGATAGATTTTTAGGAGGTGAAGATTAGAGGCGGTTAAAAGGTGTTAACAACGCTCAAGAGAGGTGATGGAGTCCTGAAATAATTGGATGTTGGTAATTGAGATGAGGAGGAATGGCAAGATAGGTAAGAGAGGCCAGATTACAAACGTTAATGTGTTTTAGGTGTTTTAAAACCATGTTCCAACCAAGGTTTGTTAAGCTTTACTTTATCATTCATATTATGAAAACAAAGATTGTTTTTAAATAAAATTTATAATATGTATTTTTAGTTATGTATGCCATCCTAGACATTCTATATTTTACTGATGCTGTTGAGAATCTGTGGTGTGTAAAAGTTGTTAGATTGAAAAGTTTGAACCTGATAGAGAAATAATGTAAATTTCTGGAAAAGGAAGTAGGTTTTTTTCTTTTGGTTATGTATATATTAGGTTACTTTGGAAGGAGAAAGTAAAAGCAGAGACTGAAGGTGGGAGAAGAGGTGACTTTTGTAGTAATCAAGGTCTAAAGTGAAAAGGACTTGTATTAGGGGAGTGGAATTGTTTACATATTTTTTTCCTTTATAGCATTTTTTTACAACCAGTAATTTTGCTTACTTATCTTTCTCTTACTGGACTCTTAAGTTCTTTGCATGCAGGAGATTGCCCATTTTGGTCATCTGCCATTCTAATTATTAAGAAATTTTATTTGTTAAACGAATGAATGTTTTTATATGTAGTTAGTTGATTTTTAGGAACTTTGTGCTGAACTAAGGGTTCTGTCCTAAGGACCTTGTTAGCTGAAGAAAGGAAAGTATGCGTGACTTAAAATAATTATATGTCATAGATACCCATTTCTTCTTTTTCCTTTTAAAAATAAGGATAAGTTTTAAATTTATTGAGCTTATATTTTGTGCCAGCCGGTGAGCACTTACATATGTTACTTCCCTTTAGTCACCAAACTACTATACTTTACTGTATAGACTTTTTATTTGCATTTTATTATTGAGGACACATAACGAGAATAAATAAGTTTTCCAGGGTCACAGAGCTAACAAGGCAGCCTAGACCTATTTTCTTTGGCTCAAAAAACTGTACTGTTTTCCATTGTATTAAACCACCTTCTATCTTTATATTCTCTCCTTTTTTTTTTTTTTTCTCCCCAAAGCTCGTAATTTTATAAGTAGGTGTAGTTCTCTGAGTTTCCTGGGAAACATTATTGGAATATTATTTCTTGACTTAACTAAATCCTTTAGGTTGTATCCTTAACTAAATCCTTTAGGTTGGCATGTTTATGGCCTTCTCCAGAGGTCAGACAAGAAATATGATGAAGCCATTAAGTGTTACAGAAATGCGCTAAAATGGGATAAGGACAATCTTCAAATCTTAAGGGACCTTTCTTTACTACAGATTCAAATGCGAGATCTTGAGGGTTACAGGGTAAGTAAAGTAGAGAATTTTTTTTATTCTAGGGGAAAATATTGTTAAAATATTTAAAACTTTTTTGAGTACTTCTGATAACAAAATTTTTTATTTAAAGAATTTAATTAAATTTACACCCTCCCCCCTCAGTAGTGATTGTATTTATGACTAGACTAATCAGATTTTTAAAGTAAATTGTTTTACTGTGAGGTGTAAAGTTAGATTACTGTATAGGATTGAAGTAATCAATTTAGTGAAAATTAACATGAGTATTCCTCAAATAGGCAATGACTTTGTCTGTATTAACATGCACTATAACCTTTAGTTCTCATATTTTTCTGGGAAGCACTTTTTTTTTTTTTTTACCTTCATTGAAACTAATCTGTCTTTGTAGTTAAATTTTAGCCCTTAAATCATTCTATCAAAGCAGATCTATTTTGATCTGTTTAGATCTGATTTAATAGAATGTAGTACCTGCTGAGTTGTTTCCTACAGATCTTAATTCAGTAGTTGGGCCCTGTATTTTTAAACTTTTTTTTTCCCTTTGTATTATCTTTTCCATACTGTCTCTTAGAGTAAGCAGAGTAATTTTTAAAAAAATTACAAGATTACTTTGGAGACCTCACTGTGCTTAACAACAACAACAAAAAATTGGTTTTGCTTCTATAAAGCTACACTATATGGGTGTTTGAAACTTTAATATTATTCCTATCATTGTGTTGCAAATTGCACAGTGTTATGGGAAAATTAATATGATCTTTATAAGGAGCATTTGCTTTCACTGTAAACCTAAGGAAAGTGGTTTTTTCCCCTTAAAGGAAACAAGATATCAATTACTTCAGCTTCGACCTGCGCAGAGAGCATCATGGATTGGTTATGCCATTGCTTACCATTTATTAGAAGATTATGAAATGGCAGCAAAGATTTTAGAAGAATTTAGGAAAACACAGCAGGTAACAAACAGAAGCCAGAACTAGTAAACTAGGTCTGATTTTAAGTGTAACTGAAAGAACTGTATATAGATGTGCTAACTTTTTATTTTGAAATAGTTTCAAACTTACTGGAAAGCTGCAAGAATAATACAAAGAGCTTCGTACAGGAGTTCACTCATATTAACTAATTGTTAATATTTGACACATTTACTTTAAAATCTGTCTCTATTTAAATCCTTTTCTTGAAATATGCGAGAGTAATTGCAGACACCATGCTCTTTTACTCCTAAATGCTTCAGTGTGGTATTTCCTAAGAATAACCATGGTTGTGAACTCTGTAGATTATCAAAAAACTTGAAAATTCAATGTTGAGAGACTATTATCTAATCCACAGTCCATATTCAAAATTTATTAATTGTCTCTGTCCTTTCTAGGATTTTTTTTCTTTCCATTTAAGGATTTAGTTTAGAATTATACCCTGCAGTTATCACTTGTCCTTGGTCTCTTTAATCTGGAGGTTTTGAAGACTTTCTTTGTATTTCATGACATTGATAGTTTTGAAGAGTACAGGGCAGTGCTTTTGTAGAATGTCCATTAATTTGGATTTGTTTGATGGTTCCTCATTATTATACTTAGGTATTTTTGGCAAGAAACTACAGAAGTAATGTTGAGTCTTTCTCAGTTTATCACATTAAGAGGCACATGATGTCTGTCTGTTCTATTTGATTACTTGGTTAAGGTGGTGTCTGTTAAGTTTCTTCACTATAAACTTGTTATTTTTTCTCTTTGTATTTTATAAACAATTGGATACTTTATGAATAGTCTATTCCTTGTCAAACTTTCACTGCTAGTTTTAGCATTCATTGATTATAATTTTTGCCTGAATCAACTCGTCCAATGATAATTACAAAATGGTGACTCTCTTATTCCTTCTAGATTTATTATTTGACATTCTATTGTTAAAAAAGGGGTTTCCTTTTTCTCCTGGTTATTTGTTATATGTAAGGACTTATAGATTCTTATTTTATTCAATGAATTATATGTTAATACTGTCATTATTTATCATTATTTACATAATTACACTCTACACAGGTGTAGGAATTTTAAAAAATGAGTTTTATAAACCAGACATTCTTAGACTTCTTGTATGATTTTGAGTGTGTAAACAATTTTCTAGCATCAAAACAAAATTCTTACTGTTAGTATTCCTTATATCCATATCCAGACATCCCCTGATAAAGTGGATTATGAATATAGTGAACTCCTTTTATATCAGAATCAAGTTCTTCGGGAAGCAGGTCTCTATAGAGAAGCCCTGGAACATCTTTGTACCTACGAAAAGCAGATTTGTGATAAACTTGCCGTGGAAGAAACCAAAGGTATTTTTTTAAAATGATGTCATTCGAATATTTAATTATGACAAAGAGCAAGGTTGAAAATATAGCTGCTGATTATCGTATATAATTCAACTTTCTGATGATAGAAAATGTTTTTTACTCATGTACTTTGAATTATCTGTAATGTGGGAAATACACATTTAAATCATGGATATTGTTATATGTAAAAATTGCAAACTAAAAATTATTGAAGCGACTCAATAAAATATTTTTTAAAGTATTTTTGATCTGAAAATATTATAAGATTTTATCAAAATATTATAAGGTTTGAGCAATTGTTTAATTTTATAAGACAATTAGATTTCTTAGAAACAGCTTATTAGCCAGAGTGTGTACACCAGATTTCTTTATTGTCAGTCATGTATATTGGTAAATCAGTCTTTACTAAAATATATGAGAAGTTCCTAGGGTTCTTTAGAGTTTATCTGAATGTCTTTCTTGATAGAGTAAAAAACATGAATCGAAATCAGAGATTTTATATGTGTGGATTGCGATAGAATGGTAAATCTTTAAAGATTGTCAGTTCTGCTGTTTATTGGAGGGCTGAGAAAAAGGAGTCTTATAGTTTTAAAAGTTGAACTGATTATAGAAAATGAAAGAAAAATAACAAGTAATTGAAAATACAAGTGCTTTCTAAGAATTCATATGTTGCTTTGTCCTTGTTAGTCCAGGGAACTGAAGTTTGTTGGTTTCCAGTTCCTTTGGCTCCCCTTGACTACTAGAAAAGTGTGGTATCTGTATGCATAGTAGACATATCAGCCATTATTTGCCAAATAGACTTTGAGCAGAGGGTGATGCTACTGGCAAGAAAAAAAGTGGAAGTTTATGGCTCCTGAACCTCAGTTGTGAACTATAGATTCTGGATAGCCTGCTTTCATTTTAGTTGTCATCTTTTAGCACTTTATTATAAAGGGAGGAGACTTATGACTTAATGTAAAGATCACAAGATTGGAAAAAAATAGTTTGCCCTGAAACTAATATAATATTGACTGTCAACTGTAATTGAAAATTTCTTAAAAAGTGGAGAAAAAAAATTTTTTTTTTAAGTTAAGAAGATACGTTTAGAAAGTTTTCTTAATAAATCTGCTTAATATTACTCATGACATTAAAAAACAAAACAAAACACTGGTTTGGATTCCTTCATTGGCTGGCTACTAACTAGCTATATGACCAGGGGCAAGCCTTGGGTATCAGTTTCTTTATGGAAGTCCATGACAGTTTTTAAAATACTCTTACGTACATTATTTTATTTGCTCCTCTTGATAACTTTATTAGTGAGGAAAAATGACGGATCAAGTTAGATGAGGACTCAGAACTGACCAGTGGATTTTAGCAATTTGGAAGTCACTGGTAACTTTAACAGAAGCACTTTCTGAACTTTTGTCAGGAAGGTGATAAGAGCCCAAACAAATCAAGTAGATCTAAATGAGATTGGAAGTAGAGGAATTGCAGGTAGAATGCATAAATGACTCATACAAGGGGTTTTGCATAGGACAAGAGATAACGGAGTGGTGGTGAATAAAATGCATTACAGGACCAGAAGAAGGTTTTTTACAGCATGCGCTTACGTTCACTTGAGGATGATCCAGCAGAGACAGAATATTTGATACAGTAAGAGGGGATGTGATCTAGTGGATAAGTTGAAGGATTAGCTTTAGATAACAATGAATTGTTCATCCACAGTAACAAGAGATGGTAGAGTATATGGGCAACTAGGTGTGTAGATGTAGTGGGTACTTTGGAATTTTCATTGCTTCCATTTTTCTCAATGAAATAGGAAACAGAGCCATTAGTTCATTCTATAAAATATGTATTGAATACCAACAGTGAGTCAGGTATTGCGGACAGTGTATACAAAGAGAATAGAGAGAAACTGAGAGTGGAATCATCAGTCTTTGGAAATTTCAGTAATAAAGGCGTTGTTCGTGGTGGATGGTCAGGATAATTTAGGAACTTCCTGGAGTGGGTGAGTGGGCATATAGTTGGACAGAAAGTTTCATTCTTATTCTACCAGTTTCTTCTGCAAAGAAAAGGTGAGAGGAGATTAAAGGGAGTCAATAAGAATGGATGTAGTGTAGGGGAGAAAAGTTGCAGGGTCATTTTTAGTGAAATAGGCTTTTGGTTAATATTGAAAATTTCTTAAAAAGTGGAGAAAAAAAATTTTTTTTTTAAGTTAAGAAGATACGTTTAGAAAGTTTTCTTAATAAATCTGCTTAATATTACTCATGACATTAAAAAACAAAACAAAACACTGGTTTGGATTCCTTCATTGGCTGGCTACTAACTAGCTATATGACCAGGGGCAAGCCTTGGGTATCAGTTTCTTTATGGAAGTCCATGACAGTTTTTAAAATACTCTTACGTACATTATTTTATTTGCTCCTCTTGATAACTTTATTAGTGAGGAAAAATGACGGATCAAGTTAGATGAGGACTCAGAACTGACCAGTGGATTTTAGCAATTTGGAAGTCACTGGTAACTTTAACAGAAGCACTTTCTGAACTTTTGTCAGGAAGGTGATAAGAGCCCAAACAAATCAAGTAGATCTAAATGAGATTGGAAGTAGAGGAATTGCAGGTAGAATGCATAAATGACTCATACAAGGGGTTTTGCATAGGACAAGAGATAACGGAGTGGTGGTGAATAAAATGCATTACAGGACCAGAAGAAGGTTTTCTACAGCATGCGCTTACGTTCACTTGAGGATGATCCAGCAGAGACAGAATATTTGATACAGTAAGAGGGGATGTGATCTAGTGGATAAGTTGAAGGATTAGCTTTAGATAACAATGAATTGTTCATCCACAGTAACAAGAGATGGTAGAGTATATGGGCAACTAGGTGTGTAGATGTAGTGGGTACTTTGGAATTTTCATTGCTTCCATTTTTCTCAATGAAATAGGAAACAGAGCCATTAGTTCATTCTATAAAATATGTATTGAATACCAACAGTGAGTCAGGTATTGCGGACAGTGTATACAAAGAGAATAGAGAGAAACTGAGAGTGGAATCATCAGTCTTTGGAAATTTCAGTAATAAAGGCGTTGTTCGTGGTGGATGGTCAGGATAATTTAGGAACTTCCTGGAGTGGGTGAGTGGGCATATAGTTGGACAGAAAGTTTCATTCTTATTCTACCAGTTTCTTCTGCAAAGAAAAGGTGAGAGGAGATTAAAGGGAGTCAATAAGAATGGATGTAGTGTAGGGGAGAAAAGTTGCAGGGTCATTTTTAGTGAAATAGGCTTTTGGTTAATATAGAGCAGGCTGTCAACCTCAGCACTGTTGAGATTTTGGGATCGAAATATTGGGGATGGAAGTCTCCTGTGTGTTGTAAAATGTTGAGCAGCATCCCTAGCTTCTACCCATATACCAGTAGTACCCACCCCCCTTTACTGTGACAATTTAAACTTCTACAGAAATTGCCAAATGTCCCCTGGGTGGTGGAAGTGCCCCTGGTTGAGAACCACTGGTATAGACATAAAGAATATGGGCTCTTTCAGCTAAAATGGTTGGATTCAAATCCTGACTTCAATAACTAGTTGAAAGACCCTCAGCAAGTTTACTTAAGTTCTCTCTGTTTTAAATGGTGCAAATAATAATAACCTATCATAGAGTTTTGAGAATTGAATTAGTTAATGCCATGTGAAACATTTAAAAGTCACTGGCACACAGTGAGCACTCAGTAAGTGTTCATTTTTATTATCTGATGAGAGCAAAAGGTGCAAGGATGAAGTTATGGCTGGAAAATACCTTTGGTCAATAGAAGCCCATTAAGGTTAAGGATTCGGAGCAGCATTTGAGGCTTATGTAAGTTTGGAGTTCATACATTTCTAGTGATAATAGCACCTCTGTTCATTTATCTGGCGACTTTGCTTCCTTTTGTGTGAAAGTGTGGAGCAAACACCTGGGATGATCCAGGCCTTAAAATTAATAAGATAAATAAGGGAGACTAGGTTTTGAGATTGATTTTGATACTTGGGGCTGCTAATGTCATTCAGGGATGAAATTGGTCATGTAGCCCAGAGAAGACAAGCAATGAGTCTACGAGTTGCTGAAATGGCCTGGGGGGAAAAAAGGGAATGCTTTTTCTTTAAGGTAGGATTAGTGAGACAAAAAGAAGACAAGACAGTTAAGATTAAAGCAAAATGCCTATGTGGTAGTTGGAAGCATTAGAAAAAGGTCTTGAAAATGGCCATGATTATTGGCTGCTACAGCAGAATAGTTTTATAGTTGATTAAGGGATGATAAGGTTAGGTTATTGGATTGAGTTATTGATTTAGATGTTGAAACTGTCCATGTTATGTCAGGAATAGTAAACGATGGCTTGGTGATTGTGGTCAATGAATTTGAGAAGTAATCTAGAGTTAGACAAATACCTGAGTTAGCTGAGGATGCAAAGAGAATGGCATTTCTAAATATGAACTTTAAAAAAAGAGAGACAATGAAATTCCATGGTAAATAATTTTGAAGGGAATTGGAAAACCAGGAGGATACCAGATCCATCCACTTCACAATGTCAAAGAGATTTTAAGAGAAAATTTGAGGAAAAGATAAAGTTATAACCAGAAGATATTTAGCTAATTTAACTTTTTTTTTTTTGTCAGGAGAACTTCTGTTGCAATTATGTCGTTTGGAAGATGCAGCTGATGTTTATAGAGGATTACAAGAGAGAAATCCAGAAAACTGGGCCTATTATAAAGGCTTGGAAAAGGCACTCAAGCCAGGTAGTATTGTTTAAAACTTAAACTTTCTAAGTTTTAATTGCTTTTCTTGTTAGTATATATTTTATTAACTCATTGAAAAACATAACTAGAAAAATGGTGGTTAAGAATTGGTTCAGAATCTGAATATAAAAATACATTTGCAAACTTACATTTAATATGGATGAGAAAAAAATTTTAGAAGGAATTTTAGAAATTCACAAATGTAGCAGCATCAAAACCATGAAAGGGAAATTTCCACTGTCAGAAAAGGAGATGTCTTTCTAAAGGAGAGAAGCAAGTGTAACCTCTGTAGTAGCCTGTGACTGCAGTGGCGTGGCCTGCCAGGGGCACATGGATGTAGCCAGACTGAAAGAGCAGCACTTCATCATGTGGGAAGAGGGACGAAATTTCCATCACTCAAATAAATGGGTCTAAAGACTCTCTCTTTCTCTCCTCTCCCTTTCCCCAGCACCCTCTCCCATGAATAAGACCCACTTATGAGGACAGGCCCAGAACATATCATCTACAAATAGGCTTAGCTGAGATGATCTGATTTGAAACTGTTGTTTCCCTCAAGACTGGTAGTGAGCCATTCCTGATACATCGATCTATGCAGAAAAAGCCTCGTAACAAAGAATGTCATACTACCTTAGGAACACCAGCGCAGGAATAGTAATCATCCTGGCAGCAAAAGGGAGTGTAGAGATAATGGAGGAAGCTAAGATGAGAACGTGGAATTGTAACCCTAAAATATGAATAGTTATGAGACAGTACCAATCAGGAATCTGGGAAATGAAAAGCCTACTTATTGACACAAAAATCTTAGTAGATTGAATAGAAGAGAGGCCACGGTTGAGGAAAAATTAGTGAAGATTAGTGAAGTGGAAGATTGAACTGGGGAAAGAGCACAATTGAGAGTAAAAGAGAAAATATAAAAAATATGAAGAGTAGAAGATGGGATAAATCCAGGATTTAGAGGAGTTAGGAAAGGAGGGGCTAAAGAGAATAGTGGAGAAGCCATATATGGAAATATTATAAAGAACTAAAGTAAAGAATGTCCTCGGATATTGAAAGGCTACCTAAAACAGTATGATGAAGAAAAATATGTATTTTATATGAGTATAGGTATTTAAAATATAAAAACATTAGAAATATTCTAAAATGATTATTGATATATGTAAGTTGTTAGATAATTTTTTCTTCACATTTTCTGTTTCATATGATAACTTTTATATACTTTGGCAGATTTGTAATTTACTAGAAAAATATCCAAGTTATAATTACATATAGAAATAATTTTTTTGTTGTTGTCCACAGCTAATATGTTCGAACGACTAAAAATTTATGAGGAGGCCTGGACTAAATACCCCAGGGGACTGGTCCCAAGAAGACTGCCATTAAACTTCTTATCTGGTAAGTGAGAATAATTACAAAAGAATGACAACGATGCTATGATTTACAGTTTCTTTCCTTGGGTTTAAATATGTGAGTGCATATTGGGATTATGCATTGTTAGAGTTGTCTGAGTAAATGTAAGTCAACAGGATTGTTTTTCTTCTAAGGTGAGAAGTTTAAAGAATGTTTGGATAAGTTTCTAAGGATGAACTTCAGCAAGGGTTGTCCACCAGTCTTCAATACTTTGAGGTCATTATACAAAGATAAAGAAAAGGTAAAGCAAAGCACAATTTTTTTTACAATAATTTCTTTCCTTGGTAGTTGGAATAGTTGATTCTTGCTTATCTGTGCACATTTTGTGTATCTCCTATCAGTCTTCCTAGCTTGCAGTGTAAATTCTTTCGTGTCTCTTTTTCATCCTTTTCCTTCTTTAGCTAAATAACTTACTGCTTTTTAAAAACATTTTCGTTTGTGCTGTATAATTTAATCAACGTAGGTATGAACAGTTGATAAGGTAATGATTTCTTCAGTATTTTCTCGAATCCTTGCCCATGGTGAAACTCAGAAGTGATTTTTTTTTTAAACTAAGTTTTAGCTTAGTAATCTTTCCCCTTTTTTATTTGGTAGAAAAAAATTCTGTCAGAAGAGTTTGTTTGCTGTCCCAGTAAGTCAACTTACTCTTTCAGCTACATGTTATAGTATTCAAAATGCTTGTAAAGAGGGTGTTTTAATCTTGATTTAGATTATTTTGCTGGCAAGTAGAGTGGCATCAAGACATGTTGGTTAGATAAAAAAAAAAAAATCAGTTGCAGTGAAGAATGAGAAAGATGGGACAAACTACACATGCTAAATAAACACTTTAAACTAAAGCATAAAAGGTATACTGTTTGCCAGTCTTGTTCAGCGGCCCAAGGCATGGGCTTTATTGATGACTGCTCCACTTTTTTTCTTTGCATAAATTACATTTATAAAATGTGGTCTGTTATTTCCAGTTTGGATAGAGTGAGAACTTGATGCTTATGAAGCTGTCTTGATTTTAGAATGCTGTAACTCATTTAAATTGGTTAAAAATATCTAATTTATTCTTGAGTCCATGATATTCAACTTATAGAAACAGTTCTTTCTTTTTGTTCTAATTAAGGTCATCTTAAGTGTACATAATATTGAGTTATATTCTGCAATGATTATAATAAATGCAACTGATTCAAACAGGTTTGAGAAAACAAAACTCTTAGTAAGCATGTAGCTCATCTTGTGGGAGCAGAAGAACGTGGGCGCACCAGAATAACCTAGCTGTGACCATTCAGTCCTCACAAGTCTGAGGTAATGGAGAGAGCTGGTGTTAATCTGTTGAGTCAGTTAAGTTGAGTGCTTCTATAGTAATATAAATCCATTATAGGTAGATTAAGCAAGAAAGGGAATTAATAAATTAAAAGTATTCACAGATCTCTTAGGAAGCCAGGCACAAGTGTACAGTCATGATTCAGGAGAAACCAGAACCTGGACAGCTACTTGTTCTCCTGGATCTCAGAAAGCCACCCATTGTTCCATGTGTCAGTTTTACTAATGCTTTCTCTGGAATTATGAAATTGAGAGTTGGTGCTTATGGAATTTCTCTTTTCACATAGTATTTAATTCTTGATTTCTGAAGAGCAGATGCTTTCTGTGGGTGTTATATATGTGGATTGAGATAAAAACGAACCAAGATAAAAATCATCCACAGCATTCTCCTTTTGTCCAACCTTTTCCTGATTTCTAGTTCAGCTTGATGCTTTATTTTTTAGCAGGGAAAGGAGTCGTCAATAAGTTTTTAGAAAGTTAAGTCTTAATACATACCTTCAAAAATATATGGTATACTTGCTTTAAAATTTTTATGCATAGGTTAAGAGATTTATAAAAGTGTGTGTGTGAATGTTTAGCTCTTTAGTAGTAAATTACACATTTTGCAGAAGAATAGTAATTGTGTATATATTTTTTTTTATTAAAGTGTGCTTGTGTGTTTGTACTCTAGGTGGCAATCATAGAAGAATTAGTAGTAGGTTATGAAACCTCTCTAAAAAGCTGCCGGTTATTTAATCCCAATGGTAAGTGATCAAGTTTTGTTTTGAAAACATCTTCAAAATTTTAATATACTATGAAATTCTTAGAAGGTCAGTATTGTTTATTATTTAGGCAATAAGTTTAGAATATTTAAACGTTTTTTTCTTTTAGGATGGAGATGTATTAATTTGCACGTAGTGTGAAAATATTTGTTAAGAGAATCACATTAGCTTATTAAAAAACATTTTATGTAAAATTTAAAACATCTGCAGCACTGTATGTAATAACATGATGATCATCCATTTACCCTCTACCTAGCTTCAATAATTTTTAACTTATGGTCAATCTTATTTCATCTATATTCTTACATCCTTCCACTGCCATGTTATTGTGAAGCAAATCCCAAATATCACATCATTTCATCCATGAATATTTTAACATTCCAAAGATCATAACCATAATATCATCACCACACCCGAACATTAATACTTAATATCAAAGAAAAAAATCCATGCTTACATTTCCAGGTATCTTAGAAATGTCATTTTTTCTCTTTGTTTTTGAAATTTGCTTGAATGAAGATCCAGATGAAATCTGTACTTTGAATTTGGTTGATATGTCTCTTAACTCTCTTTTAATCTAGAGGTTTTCCCTCCATCTTCTCTTCCTGAAACTTGTTTGTTGAAGAATTTAGTTTTTTTGTGTTGTTTTCCTAGTCTAGATTTAGCTGAATATACCCCTATGGTGTTGCTTAACACATTATTCCTCTATCCTCTGAATTTGTTATGAATTGGTAGTTGGATATACTGCTGTGCTGTCTAGTATGATAACCATCAGCCACATGTGGCTATTAAAATTTTTTTTAATGAAGTCAAATTGAAAATTGAATTCCTCAGTTGGCGATAACTACATTTCAAATGCTGCTCAATAGCTATGTGAAGCTACTGCCTAGTAGCGTATTAGACAGCGCAGCTACAGAACGTTTCTGTCTCTGCAGACTTCTAAGGGACAGATCCTACCAGAGGCTTGATGAGGTTATAAAAAATTTTTTTGGTCGTTTGTTTTTTGTTTTGTTTTAAGTGTAAGAGCGAGACTATTTCACGGGTGATGGTGTGTTCTTACATCAGGGGGCATGTGTTTTACATGTTAGCAACTGTTAGGAATTACAAACTGGTGATATTCCATCATTCATTTTTTATTACCTTAAAAAGGAAATTTTTCTTCATCTATTTCTACTTATCCAGTATTTCAGTGTGTATAGGAAAAGCAAGGGAAATGCTGCTTTTTCAACCCCACCTCTTCTACCTTTTTTTGTTGTTCTTTACCAGTTTTCAAAATAATGAATTGGTCTAGTAACAGCCTTCAAAGATGGGTAATACACATTTTAAAGGTATTATGAATTTATAGATTTAAACATTTGGTGTTTTAAATCATTGCAGTTGTAAGCGGTTCCAGCCTTTGGATGCCATGGTGGTAGTTGACAGCCTCTTTGAGTTCAGTATGACAGGATTATTCCGGTTCATCTCATACACTGCCCATAGTGGAACTGGAATCAGTTGTTTTTCCCATGGAGCCCTGGTTCCTACAGTGGGAAAGCCCCATTGGGGCCTGGGGTGCTCACTGCTGATGGATTGATCATTGTTTCTAGGTCTCAGGTTAATTTTAATAATAGTTTTTAGAAGGCGTTACCATGGTTTCAGTGGTTAATCATCATAATGTTCCTTTGATTATCAGCATTTTCCTACATATTTTACAAATGTGGAAGAGGTTCAATGACATGCCCAAGAATATGCAGCACTTTAGTTGCAGATCTATCAGATCGGGAGTTGGTGAGTTCCACTCCTATTGTTTGTCCACTGAGCCATCCTACTTTTACCAGGATAAAAATAAGCAATCTATTGCTTTCTTTGAAAGCAAATAACAATTCTTAGATTTTAGAAATTTGTGTTAATAAAAGCACTTTTTAATGTGTAGGGTATGTATTTCACTTACACATTTTCTTATGAGCATATAAAAATTAAATTATGAACTAAAATATAGAATAAGCATTTTTACTTATCTCTTTTTTTGGGGTATAGTTTTTATTCTACTTCAATTATGTACCATTGCATATTCAGCATAATATTAAAACATATTAAGACTATTATAATCACCAGAATTTAAAATAAGCACATCACAAGTATATTTATGTATAGTTTAGTCCATTAGCTAGAAATTCAATTAAGCAATTGGGCCCTTTTTTTTAACCCCACATTAGTGGAAAATTTCTTTTGGTGTGTATTTTTTTCTCAGTTTTTAAAAGAATAATATCCCAATCAATTCACTTTCGTAATTCTAGTACAAGTTGTCTTCCCTCACCCCTTTCAGTTTCCTTTTTAGGTAATTTGTTATGTCTTTGATCTCATTTGTCTGCCATACTTACTATGTAAAGTTCTTACTAAATGCAAAGCATAGTGGGCTATAGTGATCCATAACAGAAAGGGTGATCCCTTCCAAAGATCTTATAAATTTAGGAGTAGTTTTATAGTTAGATATATAAATAACATGGTTCAAACTACTTCCTTATTAATAAAGATGGGGTACTCATTTGATATGAGTACCCTCTTAATCTATACAATGACTAATCTTGGTTTCTCTCCTCTCTCACCCACCTCTCCCACTTTTTAAAGATGATGGAAAAGAGGAACCACCAACCACATTACTTTGGGTTCAGTACTACTTGGCACAGCATTATGACAAAATTGGTCAGCCATCTATTGCTCTGGAATACATAAATACTGCCATCGAAAGTACACCTACATTGATAGAACTCTTTCTTGTGAAAGCTAAAATCTATAAGGTAAAAATTTATTCCCTTTTGTTTTTATAAAGTAATGAGACTTAAAATTGTTTTTTCTCTGTTCTATAGATTCTAAATGCTGTAAGAACAATGACTATTTGATGGCTCATAAAACATGGAATAATGTTTCCACAGCACCTTTAGAGTAGAAATTTGGCCATCCCTTTGCCCTTTATGGCCTTTATGTTGAATTGTGTTGTTGTGATATAAAGATTTCAGTTATTATTCAACCATAATTTTTGAGTATGCACTGTGTGCCAGGTACTTGTTGTAGGGAACAAGGTTATAAAACAGTAGACAAAACTTAAAAAGTTAAGTGTTTACTATTAGAGAGCCTGTATTCTACAGGCTAGAAAGGTATCAGAACTTATATTATGGTAGAATGTATGCATCTACATCGATTCTTAAGAGTCAGAAGAATACCTTTCTTCCATTTATTTTAGTTTTTTATCAACAGGTAACTAATCATTTGCATAGTAAAATTAGCATACTGACCGGTTTATTTTGTTTTCGTACCCTGTAAGCATGCTGGGAATATTAAAGAAGCTGCGAGGTGGATGGATGAGGCTCAGGCTTTGGACACAGCAGACAGATTTATCAACTCCAAGTGTGCAAAATACATGCTAAAAGCCAATCTGATAAAGGAGGCAGAAGAAATGTGCTCCAAGTTTACAAGGGTTTGTATAGCTAGTGCTCTTACTTATGAATAGATGGTTATACTTGTATACTTTACTTGTTTTTTAAAGTTTCTAATATTTTTAATATCAAAATAGTCAGGATGTCATCTTATCAGAAAAAAACAAATCAATATTAGTATAAAACATCATTTTCTTTTTAGATGGTTGTACAATGAATTTTTAAACACTGATTTATGTTGATAGATGTTCAGATGAATTTTTTAGGAGTGAAGGCAACTAATATTAATCTGAGTACCTGCTATGTGCTAGTGTCTATATCTTATGTTAGTCTCCAACCCCAATTATGTAGATCTTTTGATTAATCATTTACAAAGATACGTATTCTGTGTACTTGTTAGAAATATAATTTCAGTTTCTTTCACATATTAACCATTCCCTCTCACTCTGAGAATGGTTGGAAAAATAGGAAATGATTTTGAAAGAATTTAAATCAATTGACTATCTTTTCCTTCTTAAGTTCGGTGGTGGAATAATGTATTTAGTAAGAAATGGTCTTGAATATATGTGATTTTTGTATAGGAAGGAACATCAGCGGTAGAGAATTTGAATGAAATGCAGTGCATGTGGTTCCAGACAGAATGTGCCCAGGCTTATAAGACAATGAATAAATTTGGTGAAGCACTTAAGAAATGCCATGAGATTGAGAGAGTAAGTACCCTATACATATAAGTTTCTCATTTTATTCTGTTAAATGGTGAAGGTTTTGGGCATATCCTATTGTTTTTCTTTTTATAATTCACAGTAAGTGATTTCTAAATATCAGTATTTACATTTTTCAGTTTTTATAATGGAAATGTTATATATTACATTTTCAGCAAACTTCTCTTGCCTACTCTTTCTGCAAGAATTCATGTAAAAAACTATGGAAAGTGTGTATCTTGCTTATGTTTTCATTGGTTTTTGAATGTTTCTTTCAAATTATCCTAGAAACCTGTTTGTTGTGGAGTTGATGCCATATATCTTAGATATTTATAATATAAAACCTTTGAAGCATTTTCATAGTATTTCTTTAGCCTCTGTAATGCCTCATTTTTTGATAAATTCATTGTTTTCTTTGTCTTCACTTTTGATTTGTTTTTGTTTTCACAGATAAAAACAGTTAATATAATTTCATGCTTGTTTTGTTGTCAAGTAGAGAATTCCAGAGCTTAGTTGAATTGTGTTAGTTTCTGGTTGTTTGACTTACTTGCTAATTGATTTCTCCTCTGCATACTAGCATTACCATTGCTAGGATTCAGATCTGTATCCTCAGAAAAATTACCAAATACTACATATTATAATCCTTTGCAAATTGTTCTAAATATAAAAACTGAATGTTTAACATGTAAAGCTACTGTATTACACCATTATGTATACTAATAAATTATGTTTGATTTGTCATGATAGCTTTATGATCAAGGAAGGAATAAATACATGTGTTTTAAAGCATTGTGTTTCCTTTTCATTCAACAAATAATTCAGTGCCTAGAGTATGCCATATACTTTGCTAGGTGATGGCCCATTGTATTTGTTTATTTGATTTGCACGTATTTACACTGAATGATTGTAATTTTTATTTTTATTTTGCTGATTTTTTTTTCATGCCTAGGAAACAAGTAATTCCAAGGCTTTGATTTTTGTAGTTTTCTTTGACATTGCTATACTTCAGTATAATAAAAAGGACAATTTTGTTAGCATTTTATAGAAATCACTGATGACCAGTTTGACTTTCATACATACTGTATGAGGAAGATTACCCTTAGATCATATGTGGACTTATTAAAACTAGAAGATGTACTTCGACAGCATCCATTTTACTTCAAGGCAGCAAGAATTGCTATAGAGATCTACTTGAAGCTTCATGACAACCCCCTTACAGATGAGAATAAAGAACACGAAGCTGATACAGGTATAATAAACAGATTTGTTTGTTATGGTGTGTGTATGTCTGTTTATGTTTGTGTGTAATGTACGTTTTTCCCGAGCTTTTTGTTAAGCATCTTGTGGGAAGATATTATAGTTGGCCCTTTACATCTGTGAGTTTTGCATCTGTGGATTCAACCAACTGTGGATCCTAGAAAGTTCCAAAAAGTAAAACTTGAATTTGCCATATGCTGAGCACTATACTGAATCCATGCAAATGAAGCGATGTGTAGCCTATATGCACATCTAGGTTATATGCAAATACTATGCCATTTTATATAAGGAGCTTTAGCATCTGCAGATTTGGGTATCTACATTGGTGTCCTGATACCAAACCCCACAGATACCATGGGACAACTATATATGTATTTGTGTGTGTGTGTGTGTGTGTGTGTGTGTGTGTACACATATGTGGATAATATATATCTAATACATGTACAAATACATATATGACATAATTCGTTATAAAGTAGATACTTGAAATGAAAAAAGCCAAATATGCAAGAAATAACACCAAACTTGGAACCAGAAAACCTCAATTTTTACTCCACTCCTTCTAACATTTGGCTGTGTAATTTTGGTCAAATCACTTAAAGTCTATTCACTTCAATTTCTGAAAAGTGAGGTTTATGTATACTATCTTAAAAATTTCTAGGAGCTTTAGCATCCACAAATTTGGGTATCTACAGGGATCCCGGAACTGATTCCCCGAGGATACAGAGGGATGACTGTGCACATCATACTTAGAAAATGATCATGGTCATTTTTTGTGAATTTCTTTAAGCAACAAAAGAAAAATACTGATTATGCTTCAAAAGTTAAGTAAGAATTTAATTCGTAACTGAGCATTAGCTTTTAAGAAATTGAATTTCATGAGGTTTATATTTAATAAATGGTTTACCCAATACTATAAATTGCTAGCTACAATACTATAAATTGCTAACTATATAATTAGTGTTGGCACTTCACATTAATGTTGGCTGTCAGTATATCTAGTATTTCTCTCTTTAAAGGTGATTTTTAATCAACCTACTAAAAAATGACTATTGCCTGAACATTAAAAGCCAGCTTGGAATTAAGCTAGTAAAATTGCCCAGTAACTAATCATTTGATCACTTTTTAATATGCCATTTGTATAGATGGATGTCAGGGTGTGTGGGGAGGAGTTTTCCTTAGGTAATTATTTGGGAAAGGATCTCAAAATGAAATTGATTTAGGCATGTAGAAGGATATAAATTGTACATCTAAATATTTTGTGACTTATTCATGGCAAAAATGTTACAAGAGTTGAGGCATAAAATGTGTCAGATTTTTTTCTTTAGCCCTAAATTCCTCTTTCTAGGTTATGGTCAATTGCTTTGTGTCTCCTTCCTCCTGCTCAGGACCTTTGCATTCTGTTTTTAATTTGTTATAAAATTTTACTTTTTGTTAGCCAAGTACAGTTTAGAACTTTCAAAGACCACACATTGAATCCCTTGTACAGAGTTTACTTGAATTTCTTTCTACCTCTTGTTGATTCTTCAAGTAGAAGGAAAATGTCAATAAGATTCTACATTCTACAGGACAATTTACAGTGGAAGCTGAGAGCTGAACTCCTCTGGCTTCTTTTGTTTACCTTTTTGTTCACTCTTCCTGCTTTCCTCCTGTGTATTATTTGTACTTCAGATTTTACAAATAATATAAAATTAACTCTATACAAAGTTGAAACAATTCAGAAATATACCTAGCAAATGTGAAAATCCCCATTCATTTTTTTATTTTTTTTTTCCCAAGGGAGTCACATGTATGGTGATCCATTCACTTTTTACTTACCCAGGTTCCTTTGTGCACAATTATAATTTTCAGTTATATGTGTGTATACTTCATACACACATTTCAAGGTGGTTCTCTGTATTGTTTGGTTTTCCTTTGTTTAATTTTTTAAAGCCCATAAGTGAGATGATAACATATCTAGTGTTCTGCAGCTTCCACTTTTTTCATTTTCATAGTATTGCTTCATGTCTGGATACAGCTTATTGTAATCATTAGTCATTTTAATGGCTATGTAGGAATCTATGTGGATTTCTTTTTCTACCATTACAGAATTGTAGTAAATCATTATGGACATATTTATTTAGCATCGGTTGTTACAAGTGGAAATTACTGAGTCAAAGAGAATTTGAAATAGAGAATTTTCCCTTAAAGGTTTATCAGTTTTTATTGCCACCAACACTATATTGAAATTGTCTTTTATTTTACTTCATTGCTAACACTGAAATTTACCCATTCTTTATTTTTTGTTATTTTGGGGAAAATATCTAATTTATAATTCCTAGATTTTTAAGAATGGAACAGCTGTAAATGTTTTTATGTGGCTTCAGAGTTTCTTCTGTGATTGGGCTGTTTATATCTTTTGCCCATTTTATCTTTAAACTTCTTGATTCATAGGAGTTCTGCACATGTTTACAACTCTAATCCTTGTTTGTATATTGCTTATATTTTCTTCCTGTTGTCTAGGTCTTACTTTTATTTATGGTGGGTATCTTTCATTATGTAACAGTTTTAGTTTTTACGAGACAAAATTTAGTCTTTAATGGCTCTGAGTCTTGCTTAGAAAGGCTTTTCTACTTAAAAATTTAAAACATTTATAAATATCTTCTATAATATTTGGTTTGTTATATTTACACTTGGCTATTTAATCATCTGGAATTGATTTTTATATGTGATGTGTGGTGGAAGGTAGCAGTTGCTAACTCTTCAACAGTATTTATTGACTAGGTCTTCATATTCCCCCCTCCTTTAAAATGCCACCTTTATCACGAACTAAGCTCTGAAAAAGTCACGTGGTGGGTTGTGGGCATGGTGTCTTGTTCTAACATATAGTGAAAGATTTCCAGCCCGTCTTTTGAGACATTCCACAGTTTGTACCTCAAGGGGTGTTATTAATTTTCAGTGTCAGATTTTTACTTTACCAGGTAGTTATTCATTATTCCATCAACGAATATTTAGTGTTTTCTCTGTGTTTTGGTATACTGCTGAGATGGCCCCTATTAATACAAAAATTACAAGTAAGACATGATCTTTTCCACAAAGGAGCTCGGAGGATAAAAGAGAAGTAGATTTGTACATCAAATATTGTGACAAGCAAAATGTATAAGGCATAGTGGCAGCACTAACTGGAGAATAAATAACTTTGACAAGGTCAGGGAAGGCATAACTAAGAGAAAACATAGTCCAAAGCCATAGAGGTTCAAAACAGCTTGTTATAGCCCTAGAATTGCAAGTAGTTTAATATTGCTCTAGGAACTCATGTGCTTTTATGCTTTGCTATGATTGCAACACCAGGTCTCCACCTGCTTTGAAACATTTTTTCGGAAGAGGATACTGTGCTCTCTATCAAATGTGGAACTGTTAAAAGGCTAGGTACACATTGGCATGTGAACATATATAATGTAATGTTTTATGGAAATTTGTATGGTAATATTAAGTAGTAGTAATTGATCATTATTAATCTGATTAACATGCTTATAATTTCATTAACACTTACTGCCTACAGCAAACATGTCTGACAAAGAACTAAAGAAGCTACGTAATAAGCAGAGAAGAGCTCAAAAGAAAGCCCAGATAGAAGAAGAGAAAAAAAATGCGGAAAAAGAAAAGCAGCAGAGAAATCAGAAAAAGAAGAAGGATGATGATGATGAGGAAATTGGAGGTCCAAAAGAAGAACTTATTCCTGAGAAACTGGCCAAGGTACTTCGTAATAGTATTTAGCACAATTGAGTGAGATTTCATGACCAGCTATTGTCATTTTATATTGTTTTATTCAACCACTTTGATAGATTTTAGAGCAAAAAGTCATTCTAATTTTAGGCTTCTATCTTTGATTCTCCCCACCCCACCCCACTCCCGATTATATTTCTCTTTTGAAACTCGGAATAATGATCTAGATCTAGAGTAATCTAGTGTGGTGTAGGATAGTTTTGGCTTTTGAGTCATTCTGATCTGGGTCCACATGTCAGCTCTTACACTTCACTGTGTGTCTTGGACACTTTGTCTAACCTCTCTGATGTTTTTCTCATCTATAAAATGGGACTAGGAAAAACCCTTACTAGGCAGAGATGTTAGGATGAGAGAAAATATGTATGTAAAGAATGTAATGTCATAAGTGATAACATGCAAGTTTTTATATTCAGACTCACTTGTTAAAAAGTGAGTTTTATATATGTATTTCTGACCCATGTTATCAATTTACAACATTTCTTCACTGGACATTGCTTTTTGAACCTAATATTTTAAAAGTCCCTAAATATTTTCCCCCAAGCCAAGATCTTATCTGCCGTTTTAAACCGTTAAGCTGAAACCAAGTTATTCATTGTCACATGAACTGGTTTGATTAATAACATACTTATGTACTTTTTCTTCTGGCCTTTGGCATCCTTCTACTCCCTGTGAAAATAACTGCATAATTTATTATGCTAAAGCAATATAGTAATAAGCACATTGCCCTAGGGTTCAGTTTTAGCTTCACTGGCAGCTAAAAATTCAAAAATCGTTGATTGCTTTATAACTAAGGAAAATTTTAATACATAACAAATAGAGTTGGAAAATCATTTTAGAATTATATCAGAGCAGTTAGTAATATCTCATTCTCGCTTGTTAAGAACCATGGAGAAATCTAGCTTGGATTTCACAGGACCATATTGACATATTTTCACAAATAACTATATATTTTCTAGAAATGAAGATAGTAGTACCCTTTTATTGTTTTGGGAGTTTATTGGAAGACTATAAGGGAAGTGAGTAAGCACTGAAAATTGACCTTAAGGCCTCACAGATAATTGCAAAGTTATTCAAGGGTAGTATTAACTTCAGGGACTTCCCATCTTTATGCCTCGCTTCCTTATTACTACAACTTTTACCACCATAACTGACTGCCTGCCACTATTATTCTTTCTACCCATGACTTTCTCTTTACCTCATGACTTTCCTTAATGATTTTTTCTTTGTAACTCTTCATGTCTTATAGTTCATAAAGAGAGGATCTTTTTGGATTGTGTAGGCACTGTCTAATAAAGAGTACCCCCACCGAGCAGAATTCTTATACCAGGCTTCGTTATAGACTATTGGGTTTTCCTTGTGTCTAGCCTAGAATGGCTAATGTTAGCTAGAGGGTTGAAGAGTCTCAAAGTAATACCTACCGAAAGTGCTTTACTTGGAAGGAGCCTAGTGGAAGACACCCGGTTTAAGGACTGCTCTTCAGTATGTGCTGTTCTTACCTATTAGGCATGTAATAACCTTCTCTTCCTAGGATAGCTGCTCCAAGATGCGCCCATCTAGGAGCACCCAGTTACCCGTATCCTCAGTGGGGCAGCAATGCCAAATCACACCAGGCCATCATAACCAGGGGTGGCATCGTAGGCCATTTGAAAAGCTGCCTGCCATGTTTGGGTCTACAATCTATACTTGCTTTTTTTTGATCCTATATTTCAGGATTCTTCCATGTGATAAATGATAAATTTAATGTCTCTAGTTCTGGAGACATTACAACTACGTATATAGTCATAATATGTATAACATAAATAAGAGCATTGTTAAGTTAGAAGTAATTCCAGTTAAGAAGGAGAAAAAGAAAACAGGGCAAGGTTTAGTTAGTGAGTTTAATACTCAATTGACTGAGTATAAGTTCTGAAGTCTTAGTGGAATGCCGTACTGCTTGTTTTTCTAACTTACCACGAGGCAATAGTTGGTATTTATGAGTTCCTTCATGCACCACCCATCCTGTGTTCCTCCTTGCCTTCAGTTAGCAGTCATCTCAGTTGGTTTTTTTCCTATAGTGTGCACACACAAATTCCTTGTCAAGGGTAATGAGTCTTTAGTATTCTGTCTGTGTAGGTTTTAATAGTTTTAAACTTTGTGTTGCTATGCTGGGAGTATAGGGAGATATGCTCCTACGCAACATATCTTAACACAGATTAGATTTCAGGCAGGTGAGTTTATAAATTAATATGCTCAAAACTGCCCTTGCAGATATCTTATATTGCTCATTAATGCAATATAATTCCATTCTACATTTATTTAACTTAAGTAAATTCAGATCTTCAAGATTGGATGTAATTCGTTTTTTGAGAAAGACAGAAAAGAGTATGCATAACACTGGTAATCCTGCCCATTACTCCACTTGGTGAACATAGGAGCCCAGCTGAGTATGAGGTGGAGGAGGTATGACTCCCGATTAGTCCATCTCAGTTCTTGTGTGCCTTTCACAGTGTGAACATTTTGCTACAGTGGTTATGATTTTGGTACTTAAATATATGTTTTTCATATATGTAATGTAAATTAGTGATATATATTCATATCTGTCTATATAACTGTCTTTACAACTTCAGGGATTTTCAAGGGTAGTTTTGATATTCTTTTTTCTTATTCCTTTTTTTTTTTTATCTTCACTGATTTTGGAACCTCATCCCTGTTTATATGCTTTTATATGTATAAAGCCCTGTTCTGCCTTATGCATATGTAAATGCAGGATGTAGTTAACTTTTGTGCTTATGAACATACCTTTAAACACTTAGATTTACCCTCATAAAACCTTACCTATGAGAGGCACACAAACAGGCACACAGGAACATGTGGGGACAGCAGATCCGGATCTCCTTTGGGGGCATACGTTCTCATTAATATGGTTGCAGACAGTTGATCTTTCTGTTTTCTCTTCCAAGTTCAAATATTTTATTTCAGTTAGTATAATGCTTGTGTTGATTCAGTTTACCTATATTCCTTGTTGTTTTCACTTTGTAATAGCAGCCATATCTAAATGACCCTCATTCAGTCTATACCCCAGAGACATGAAAAGCTTGATGTAGACAGGTGACAATTCAGTTTCCATTTCTTTACCTTTCCCTTGTAGACGTTTTCTCCCACGTATACCACAAATTGCAACACAGTAGAACAACTTAGAGTCATGGAAATAAGAAGTAAAATATTTAGAGATGTGTGAGAAAGGCATACTTATGAGGGCCCATTCCCTCCTCTATCTCTTGGTATCTACAGCTGTTAGAGTGACAGTGCCATATATTGATTTCTCCTTTAGAGCATGTATCCTTCAGAGTAATGCCAGCTACTTTTCATGCCAGTACAATATAAGATAAATTCCATACAGATCACTTTATTGCTTAACTTTTTTTTTTTCTTTTAATGCTATGAAATAATATCCTTGGCCAGTCTGTGTTGGTAAAACTACAGTTACTGTACTGGCAGACGCATATTGGGCAGACAGGGTAAACCTACATTCCATTGAGAATGAATTGTTACTGCCTCTATGATGAGAGGAGGCAGATAGAGAACCCAGATGTTATAGTGCCCTTCTGATAAATGTGGTGGTGTTTCCACCCTCACCCCAGTCTACAGAGAAGTCTTGTCTCGGTACTCAGTGAAGGAGTATAACAGCACAGTTATATAATAAACATTATACCTGCCCAGTAATGATTACAAGTATGTAATTTATATGACACTTGTATAATTAATAAAAGGTGGTAGAGACAGTTCTGTAAACATAAATCTTTTCAAATGCCATCTCACCCTTACTATGGCATTTGAATAATATGGATTTCTGTAGAATTTGTAGTGGAACAAAGCAAGACAGAGTGGATATTGTACTATTTTTTATAATAGCTTGATTATACTTCACTTTGAATTTAAAAAGAACATTCACTCATTCTGTAATGTTCTCTACAGTTTTCTTCTTACCCTTTTTCATCCTATTTTACATCTCCCCTTTGTCCTGTCCCATGCCCATCCTCCCCCTCCCCCCCCAATGGTTATCTTACCTGTCTTTCTTACTGTCTTCTTTCTCTGGTTCTATTTTATCTTCTTTTTTACTTGTTGGATAGTTTATACCCAGAGATAATGTAATCTTCATGGTTAAAAACCAGTGAAGAATTATGAAGTTCAGAATCCCCCCTTTTTTTTAGATTATGGGAATTTAAAATATGACAGTTTTCTGGGTGATGGGTAAGTGATTTTTACCAAAAACAAAGTGTTTTTAATAGAAAGAGTAACATCACTCCCCTCCCCCTCAGTCTTGCTTCCATTTGTATAATATCTTTTATTTTTGTTAGGTTGAAACTCCATTGGAAGAAGCTATTAAATTTTTAACACCGTTGAAGAACTTGGTGAAGAACAAGATAGAAACTCATCTTTTTGCCTTTGAGATTTACTTTAGGAAAGGTAGGCAATTAGGATATAGTGGCCCTGAAAAATTGATCACTGTATTTCTTCTTAGGTGTAGTCTCCCAAGTCCGATAGCCTCACCACTGTAGTAGAATTTTTTAAAGCAAATGCCAGTTCAGCTTCCTCACAGAAATGCCTGCTATGCATAAAATGTTGGGGGAAGATACAATGATACAATTATTTATTCTAGGACATTAAAATCAGTAGCAGATGTGCATACATAACTAGGATTAAGGTCAGATATAGTAACTACCATGTACATATGTGTATAAAATTAGTTAATACATATAGAGCTTAGAATAGTGTCTGCTGCTACACAGTAAGTATTTAATAAATGTTAGCTATTATTAGCTTTTATTAAAAATAGAAGATGTGATGCTTGAAATACATCTCGAAGGATTGATCATATTTCTAAAAGAAAAGATGCATAGAAGGGAGAAGACTTTGTTAAGATAATATAAGTGTGTAAATAATGTTGAGGTTGGCTGTATTGCCTGAGCTAAGTGAAATATAAATGAAGGGTCTTGGTTCTCAGGTTTAGAATGCTTATACTATATATAGTAGATACTAAGAAGATTTTATGGTGTTGAACTGATGTAATCCAAGTGGTTCGTTAAGAAAAAAAGTTTATCATTAAGGTGATGCATATTAAAGGGAAGAGAAGCTGGTTAATCAGATCCGACAGAAGGTGTTGCTCCAAACAGTATAACTGTCCTACGAAAAGATATTGAATAAAATGGTACCTTCATAGAGTATGTATTAAAAAATCATGTTTATCGAAAGTAATTTATAATCTTGGGAAAAGGTTGCCATATAACATTGTTTGAAAATAGAACCAAAAACTAAACTATGGTTTGATTTTAATTTTAATAAGATATTTATATAGGTATATAAAATAGAAAAGGGGCGGGGAAGAAATAGATCAAAAGATAACAGATGACTCTTTGTGGAATTTGCATGATTAAAATATTTTCTATTTTGCACAGTGATTATATTTTATAATTTGGAAAATAAATTTAATAAATAGTCCAGTAATTTAAAACTTTTAACAGTTACTACAGCTCCCTTTTAAACAGATACTCTTAAATCAATTCCAAAGTATAAAATACAAAAGCTGTTCTACCTAAAGTGGGGAAGAACAATCTAAATTCCAATGAGTCAGCCTCTTGGCCGTATTCTGACCTCTGAAAGGCCCTCCAGCAGTGAGAATCCACTGCAGGAGAGTCAGATGGTGACAAAGGGTGGCAGTACTTTAGCTTTCTGAATATTGAGGATAAGGGAACTAGAAATGTTAGGGGAGCCTGGGGTTTTGAATTTTAATATTTGGAGAACAGGACCAAATTAGGGAAGTCTTAACAAAGAGGTGGTCATAGATAAGGAACGGAAGTATGGTGAGTATTCTGGTGCAAATTCCAGCGCAACAGATCATTGCTGAAGCTTGGGAAACGTGGGGGTTGTGAATGGGGAAATGGCATAGAGAGAGATTAGAAAATGACTGAAACTCTTACCTTTTGAGGGGGAAGAGGAGCCAGGGATTGACACGGGAGAAACAGTCAGGTAGAATGCAAACCATTTCACATGTCACAAAACACAAGAAAAGAGGTAGTTTTAAGCATAAAGAATGATGTTTTCTAAGTAGTGGAGGAAATCCCTTTGTTTTGATTAAAGGAGGTTAGGAAATGAAATAGCTTCAAATTTGTTTCTTTGTTTATATGGTATGGTTCAATTATTGTTAAATGCTGTCTAAATTTTTTTATACATAAAAGCTTTTTTCAAGAATGTTGTGTGGAAAACATTGGCTAATCTGAGGAAATCATTTGCTTCAGTCATATGTTGTAGTTCAGATGTGATTGACTATAAATTAGTTTTTCTATTTGTAAGGTCGTAGTCCTCCAAAGGAGGGCATCTTATTTTATCAAATGATCAAAGTATATCTTACTTTTTCTTTTTATAGAAAAGTTTCTTTTGATGCTACAATCAGTAAAGAGGGCATTTGCTATTGATTCTAGTCATCCCTGGCTTCATGAGTGTATGATTCGACTCTTTAGTACTGGTATGTTTTTGTTTTCCATTACTTAAGTATTTGATTGCGGTAGTTGATAGTGACTGTATAAAGTGATCAGTACAAGTTTATCATAAACTCAGTCATTTTAAGCTGTTGCATATTAAATTAGCGGAGGGAAAAGGCATTGTTTTCTTTGTGTTGAAGTTCTTTATTTTAAGGCTAAAAAAGTTACATAGTTTTGACATAGAATTATTCAGTCCAGATATTTGAGAATCACCTTTGTTTCTGTTTCTAAGAAGTTACATGTAAGTTGAAGTTTTGAATCATATTTTATGTTAACATTTTTAATAAATTGTTCTAAAATTGAAGAATCTCTTTGAAATTGACAGGTTATCTCCTTATTTATCTGTCTTTAGCATAATTCTTTTGAGTCATAAAATTTTCATTGCTAAATATAGGTTAAAAAGAACTTTAAAACCATTGTTATACTTTTCAAATACTTTGACCATAAAATTCTGTACGTTAGGTTTAATGTGAAGTAGAACTACAGAATTTTAGAAAATGAAAGGTGAGATTTTATGTTAATTATCTCTTGTTTTATAGTTAAGAATTTGGTGACCTTTAAAGATTAAATTACTTATTCAAGGTAACATAGATAATTAGTAGTGAAGCAGGGATGAGAGCCCAGTCTTCATATTGTTCTTTCTACTACAAAAGCTTTAAATTGAAAGTACTCCCTTGGTCAAGTAGTGTTGTTATTCTTGTTGTCATTTTGATTTTTAAGTGACTGGAGAAGGAGGAATTGAATTTTTAATAGAACAACTTGCAGAATTTAGAAATACTATTAAATCAGCTATCTCATTGCTAAATATCTAGCCCCATATGAATCCATACATTATATAAAAATAATGAGATTAAACGAGGCATTTTAGTCATTGTCTTGAAAATTACTAAATTGTCTCAATTAGGAACATTTTTTTGTCTTCTAAGAAAAAGTAAAGCCTTATTTAAATTATGTTTGTCAAAGAAATAATTTCTGTTATAGAAACAATCATAGATATATTTTTTCTCAATCCTTTTAAATTCAAAATGTAATAAATGTAATCACATAGAAAATAGAAGAAAGAATTGCTTTCTTTAAAGAAAATAAAATTTTTTTTTAGTCTCGGTATTAAAAACACTTTGAAATCATCAGAAAATTAAGGCTAGAAATAATTTTAGTCCATTCTCAGGATGGAGTGCACTTAAAACTATTTTCAAAAGTAATGTGCCTACTTTATTTTTATACAATTAATTCTTTCCTGAAAGGTAGTAAAGTAATACATATAAATGCTATGGAGTTAGAGACTTTCCTTTGAAATATGCATTAAAAGTAGCATTTCTAAGTGTATTTGCCTGTAATGACTTTGTGGCTTGATGAACATGATTATTTTCTTGCAACTGTTGTTTCAGAAAATTAAAATGCTTGTGGACTTTAGAGGAAGAAAGGCAGAGTGGTCCTGACATAAGAGTTAGAATGATTAAATGTCCATGTTAGCTATCCCCACTGCTCCAGGTGTTCAGCTGACACCAGAAAGAGATTTATGCAGTGATCCTTAATTTGACTAAATTTAGGCAATGAAAGCAGTGATAATTTGTAGTGATAAAGACCCACTGTATCTTCAGAAAGTCTTCAGAAAGTTGAGTAGACTGCTCACTAGTTTTGATAAGAAAAAGTATTTACTTACTGCAGAGACACAAGAGGGGCATCTTTGTTATATCCCACAGGATTTTTTTAAACCAAGGTGAAGGTACAGTCATAATGGAGGTTAAGCTAAATTCTTTAATAGCTCGTTTTTGAACCACCCAATTCTGTAGAATGATAGAAGAAATGTTTAATCAGAGGGCATATCAATCGATTATTCCGTTACTAATTATATATAAAATATTTCATGTGGATATTTACTACTCAAGAGTTCAGTATTTTTTAAACTTAAGGTAGTGATCCGTTGGTAAGAGAGTGAAAGCAATTTAGTGGGTCATTACGGCATTAAAAATATAAAATAAAAACAGAGTAGAAAATACCAGTATGCAATGCACAAAGTAAGGATCAGTGTTCTATGAAACTTTTGCTTCACATAATAAGTGATATATAAAGGACACATAGGCATCAGGGTACAAAATACTTTGTTGTAGGCAGTTTGAAAGCCACCACCATAGTTCTAACCATAAAGAAAATCTATTTATGTTTTTAATCTATGACAAAAATAGTAACTACAATTTATTGAATATCTATTATATAATTAGCTATTTTAAACTTAGCTTTTCCTTACCGTGATCAGTTTTTTTATAGATCAAGAAATAGGTTCGGAGAGGTTATGCTTTGTCCAAGCCTAGATTCATACCCAGGTCTGTCTGTCTCAAAGCTTCAGACTGTCTCTCTATACCAAAATAAAACAGGCACACCTCATTTTATTGTACTTGATTTACTGCACTTTGCAGATATTGCAGTTTTTACAAATTGAAGGTTTGTGCAACCCTGCTTTGAGAAATATATCAGCACCATTTTCCCAACAGGCTCTGATAAAGGTTAGCATTTTTACCAATAAAGTAATTTTAATTAAGGTATGTACATTGTTTTTTAAGACATAATGCATTGCACACCTAATAGGCTATTGTGTAAACATAACTTTCATATGCACTGGGAAACCAAAAATTTTGTGCGACTTGCTTTATTGTGATATTCGCTTTATTGCGGTGGTCTGGAACACAACCTGCAGTGTGTCTGAGGTGTGCCTGCAGTGAAATAAAGCACAACTTGGATTCAGTCCAGAGAGGTGGGGGTTAGTTTTTCCATTTCCAAATCCCAGGGCCTGGGAATATGAAGATTACAGCATATTCATTATAGAAAACTACTTTGGTGGTCTTCTGCAGTTTATTACGTAGCGATAGCTCAGTTCACATAGCCCCTGAAAATATGGTCAACATATTTTCTTTTAATATGGATAAATTTGTAATGCCTTACTTGGGTATTGAAGAAGATGGAGATGTTGAGAAAAATTCTCTTGTCTTCAGCACTACATATTTGCTGTGACATTTACTTACCAGGTAGGTGCTGTCAAGCCCCTGCTTCACAGACTCCCTTTAAAATTGATAGAAGGCAACCCCAAGAGATGTAGAAGGCTGTGGAACTACATCTTTCATCATCTATTTTGCTTTCTGTTCTTTTCTGGAAATGAATCATCTGTCAATGAAATGTCTTTGAGTGCCTTTAGAAAGTCAGATTGCTCTGCTGACACACATTTTTTAAATTTATATAGGTAAGCTCTTTAATTGTCAAATTATCAGTAGGTTTGTCTAGTCTTTGTGTATCAGATTGCTTTGTTTCATTGGCCTCATCAAGTAGATAATTTTTTAACTTCCACAAACTTTATCAGAGTTTCTAACTGCTAATAATTTGTTTTTGTTTAGCAGTATGTGAAAGTAAAGATTTACCTGATACAGTTAGAACAGTATTAAAACAAGAAATGAATCGTCTTTTTGGAGCAACGAATCCAAAGAATTTTAATGAAACTTTTCTGAAAAGGAATTCTGATTCATTGCCACACAGATTATCAGGTAATCACTTTATTTTGTCCTTGTTTTAGCCTCCTAACACAACTTCATTTTTTTTTAATGAATCAGTGACAAGGTTACACATTTGTCACATGAAAGAGGCAATGTGTATATGTCACATTTTAATGCATGAAAACAGGCAGCTTAAATGTTTCCTATACATTTCTACAGTTCTTAAAACAAAATTATTACTGTGCATCATGGTCAGTAGTTTCTCCTGATTCAGCAAAGGCATTACGAAGAAGCAAGCGTAACTGAATTTAGCTATACATTATATAGCTAAATTGTGAAGGAGGTACTTTTTATTTCTCCCATCAACGTGCTCTTAAAATTCACTCGGATGTGACCATCATCTTCCTTTTCTCATGCTTATGATGTAAGATATCAAACTTGACAATGCTAAACACTTGAAACCATATAACTGGCAAGGGTCATCTGGCAAGAGTCTGTGCTAGTCAGCCAGAGTCCGGACTCGATGAGGTCATGTTGGTAGTGCTTTAGTAGGGTGCTTTAAAATGCCTGGCTAAGAAACCTGGCCGCTTCATATGCCTTTGTGGAATTCCAAATTCAGCTTTTTGGCTCATACCATCAAGGTCGGGTATGCCCCTCAACTCCAAATTATGCTCATTTTAGAAAGAAAACTCTGCATGGTTCGTTCCGCTACACAAAGATAGAATATTTGCATTCTGTCATAGTCTCTCTTAACCTTAATCATTCTCCTAGTTTGGGTAGTGAGGCGATTTCTGGTCCACTCTCTCAGAATAATTTTTTTAAATGACAGTGTTTCATATGGCTATTCTCATTTTTCTAATAAGGTGCCACACTGTGTGTGCACATATACCTTGCATTTTATATTTGAATGGATGGAAGATAAGATGCTGGTTTTACCTTGAAATAAAACACATTTCCTTTTTCTTTCTCATTTAGCTGCCAAAATGGTATATTATTTAGATCCTTCTAGTCAGAAGCGAGCTATAGAGTTGGCAACAACACTTGACGAATCCCTCACTAACAGAAACCTCCAGGTAAAGGGTTTTTCATAATCTCTCTGTTAGTGTACCTGACTACTATTTGTTCCTCTTTTTATCAAGAGAACAGTTTTCACCTAATAATTTTTATTACTTATGCATATGGTTCTCCAAACCATTATGAATCCATGTCAAAAACTTAACCTTATCTTACTGTGTGTGTGCACACATGGACAGTGGGCTACTTGGCATTTAATAACTAGTTTCACATCTCTTACTTACAGTAATTTTTAAAAAAGTGTTTTAGTACAGTCGTATACACATGCCATGGTTAATTTTGGATTTCAATTCATATCTGCATTTCTGAGCAAGCAGTGGTCTCTGAAGATTCTAACATATTTAAGATTTATTTACCAGGGGTTGAATTTAAATACTCATTTTATATCTTGTAATATAACATGAGATTAAGTAGATTCAAAGATAATATGGGTATGTTGCAAAATATAGTTTTTAGTTTAGACTGAAAAAGGACAGCTATATTGTATGTTGATCAAGCAGATTAAAAATCACTTGCTGAAAGACAGTTAAATATTTTCCTTTACTAGCAAATGAAGGAAATATCTTTAAGAAAAAATTGACTCATTGGTTGCTAATTAATGCATCATTTAGGTCAGAACCTTTCTAGACTGGCAAAGCTTGTTAGGGTATCATATATCTGGAAACTACCTAGTGCTTTCCAAGTGAAACAAGATAAAGAAGGAAAACATGATGAATGCAGTCAACGTGAATCATTTAGAAATAATAAGAAGCAGACCTACTTAGGGATTTGGTTAAAAGAATTATCAGTTTTCATGAAGAAAAATTTTTTGCGTATATGCCCTTTGTGTTTGAAACTCTTTCCTGCTTAGTTATTGAACATAACTTAAGTTCTCTTTAGTTTGAATACAAGGTTGAAAAACAATGTTTGATTTTGCCAACTGGCTCTAAGCCTCTAAAAAAAGTTAAAATGCTTAAGTGCAGTAATTGACATCGGTATGTAAAATTTGACATTTATATACAGGGCCATGCTAGGCTGAGGCAAGGTTGCCGTCTCGGGGCCAGCATTTGCTGAAAATGGACGTCTCTTTAAATGTGGCACCTTAACACACCTTGCTTGCTCAACCTTAGTCCTGGCCCCGCTTATACATTCATCTTTTATACAAACCCTGCAATTCTGAGGAAACTAACTCTGATGGAATATATATGTGGGAGTAAACACTTTTGTTTCTATTAAACAAAATTAAATATGTACATTGGCCTCATTTTCAGAAATCTATTGTTAACAAAATGTCTAATTTAGAGTAAACTTTTCTTTTGGACAAGTTATAACATGGCCTTTTTTCTTTCTTTAGACTTGTATGGAGGTATTAGAAGCCTTGTGTGATGGTAGCCTAGGAGACTGTAAAGAAGCTGCTGAAGTTTATAGAGCAAATTGTCATAAGCTTTTCCCTTATGCTTTGGCTTTCATGCCTCCTGGATATGAAGAGGATATGAAGATCACAGTTAATGGAGATAGTTCTGCAGAAACTGAAGAACTGGCCAATGAAATTTGAACATCATTAAACAAGCAAATGGAATGACTTTGGACCATATCTAGTGTATAATATTTTTGTCACGCACCTGCTGCATTGCTCTGACTTACACAGAATGAGAAGAGTAAATGTTCTTGCCTTCAAATAGTTTTACGTTTTTTATCCTGC